CACTCCCCCGCGCCGCCGTTTAATAGTACTACTACTAATATAACACTTAGTATGTGCCAGGCATTGATCTAAGCCCTTTCTACATATTTCTTCATTTAAACTCCATCGCAAGGTAAGTTGCTGTTGTTATTCCTATTTTATGGATGGGGAAGCAGTGGCCCAAGTTGGGGGTTTCTCTTGTGACTGAGTATTCATAACTAATTTTATATTAGTGTAAATATATATTTACATATCTTAACATATTACCTTTATATTAATATATAATGTTTTAAAAATTTAACAGTGCCTTGTGCCAGCAATGTTCTAAGACTCACCCCATAATTTATATTCTCTGACTTTCTTTTTTTTTTTGAGACGGAGTTTCACTCTTGTCGCCCAAGCTGGAGTGCAATGGCACGATCTCGGCTGACTGCAACCTCTGCTTCCCGAGTTCAAGGGATTCTCCTGCCTCAGCCTCCCCAATAGCTGGGATTAAAGGCGCCCGCCACCACGCCCAGCTAATTTTTGTGTTTTTAGTAGAGACAGGATTTCACCATCTTGGCCAGACTGGTCTCGAATTCCTGACCTCAGGTGATCCACTCGCCTCGGCCTCCCAAAGTGCTGGGATTACAGGCGTGATCTGATTTTCATAATACATCTCTGTGAGGTTGATGGGCTCTGTTACTATCCTCATTTTGACAGTTGTGAAAACTGAGGCACCTGCCAAAGACATGTAATGAGTTTGGGTTTGATTGGACCAAGGCAGCCCTTGTTCCTGAGGCGGGGAGAATGGAGAGAGGTGTGGGGAGAGGAGGCAGGGGCAGAGAGAACACTTCCTCTGGGTTTTCTGGTGGCACTGCAGTGACATCTTTCATTATTCATGAACAGGAAGGCGTGCTCACTTTGCCTTGGCTATAGCATCGTAATCTCTATTTGCTGGGTAGGGCAGTCTTGGGTGTTTCTTCGCCTTATGCATAATTCATAAATTGGGTGGAACCTTTCTTGACCTCTCTTGAGTTTCCAGGTTGAGCTACTGCAGCAGCATAATTCATTATTCAGAACCTGGGAGAGTGTGTTTTCTCTGCAGTAGCCCCATTTCCCTGCTTATAGTGTATTAGGTGCAGCAATAGGTGGGCGTGCCCCTTTTATTCCAACCCACTGGGTCTCATGCATTATTCATGAGTAAGTTGTGGCCTGGGTCTCCTTGGATTCCGGGCCCCTGCAAGATCATCATTATTCATGAATGGAGGTGTGTGACTTCCATGTTTTAATATCTGCTGTCTGGTTGCTGGTTGTTAGTCTACCAACCACTCAACTTTATGCATAACTTATAATCATGAAGCGTGACCTTAATGGTTTTTCTTCGCTTCCATGACAGCCTGGCTGCAACCATTCATTATTCACATTCCATGAGGCGTGGCCTCTGTTTTACCTGTTTTCGTTGTTACTGCCACAATGCCCACCAGGTGGTACTGTTCCACTTCTAACCGAATGAATCGCAACCGGACCGGGAACTTTATGCATGATTCATAAGTAGGCGCGGCCCGCTTGCATCCGGGTTTCTGGGGGTGGGGCCCAAGGTTTTGTTCCGGCCCCAGGCTCAGCGGACGCCATCTTGTGTCGGCGGCTCGGCTGAACGAGGTGGCAGGGACAACCACAGCCACAGCGGCCGGGGGAGGAGAAGGCGGCAGCGGCGATTCTAGGCGGCCCAGGCGGCGGGGAGGAGGAGAAGGAGGAGGGTGGCGGCCGGGCTTGGCTTCGGCTCCTTGAGGAGTTGGCGGCGGCGCGACCCGGGGAACCGGCATTGGTAAAAAACGTCCTTTCACTGCGCCTCGCCCGGGGCAGGGGTTTCGGGGAGGCACTGGAAGGGCCTGAGCCACGCTGCTGTCGGGGCGGGCCGCGGTGACTCGGGCGCCAGGAATCAGCGGAGTAGGGAGGGGAGCAGAGCCTGGGGCGGGGCCGACTTTCCCCGGCCAGGACCACCCCGGATCCCTCTAGTTCCAAAATCTGACCTTGGAGTCGGACCCCCACGATGTGCTTTTAGAGACTCATGCCCAACATCTCTAGTCTGGGACCTCACTCCGTCCCGAACCTTGTATCTCAGATCAGAACTCTCCCCAGTCTCCAATAGAGATTTACGGGGATCAGCATTGCTGATCAGAGCTTCTCACCATTGAATGCCATTAAAGACCTGCCCCAGAATCTCCTTTGAGACACCTCCTAGCCTCTCAGTATTTGCCCTTAAGGCTTCCAAGACAGGCTAGACCTGGAAGGGGTCCATAGGCTCTTTTTCTCTGTAAGAGAGTCTTCGTTTGCATTTTCCTTCAGACCCCCCATCCCACACACATGTTAGCCACGCTCAGAGCTTCCAGGGGTACTAGACCCTGTGAAAGGCCATTTGGGCCTGGCCTTTGTGTCGGGGAACCCTCTTCGCCGCACCTCAGGTCTCCTAACCCCACCCTGGCCCTAGCGTCTTTCATCAGAGACTCTGCCCAGTATTTCTACTCAGAGACCCCTCTTAGCATCTGCCTTGAGAGACTTCAATTCCTAGACTCCGTCCTTTGACACTTTCTCTACTTCTACGGAATTTCTCGCTTTTCATACTCCCAGTATTCAGAGACTACTGAGAGGCCTCAGCATCTTCCCCATCAGACACCTTGAACCCCCAGAGCCTTCCGGTGCACCAGATACCAGGGAGGAACTGTTTGGATACATAATCCTCCATCAAAGAGCCCCTGCGAGCATCTGCTCTTGCAGTCCCGGTTGGCTTCTAGCCCCTTCCATCAGAGACTCGCCTCCCCTACCCCACCCTAGACCCAGCCTCTGCCTTCAAAAGACAACCCGGGTTCTAGCTGCTTTTTTCAAAGATCTCTTATCCCCACATCAGGCCTCAGAATCTGCCCTCAGATACTTTCAAGGTCCCTAATGTCTGCAGTCAGGGGTTTTCAGCTTCTGCTTTCAGACTCTTTGGACCCCAGGATCATTGTCAGATGTCCCTTCCACCCACAGGACCTCTTGTTTTCTTTCTTCTTTCTCTTTTTCTTTTTCTTTTTTTCTTTTTTCTTTTTTTTTTTTTTTTTTTTTTTTTT